ATTTATGCGTTCCATTTCTTCCTTAACAATTTCTAATTTTCCTACATTCATGGCTCTCACATTCCATGTTCCAATCACTAGGGTCTGCTTACAACTGTTCCTCCTCCTTTGTATTTCCATACTTGACAGTTCTGCCTATGTTGCCCTTTCTGTTAAGACTGCGTGTGTTCTGTTATGCATAGGGTTTTCAGAGGCCTGCTATTTCAGAAATGGGTGGCCAAGAAATTAGGTTTTAAATTAATGATATGGACAAAGTATCTGATGTACAAACTAGATTTTTCCTTTGTAAAGATTCTACAGGATCTGCACCCTGGGAAGCATTCCCAATGGGTGAGGGGTTTGGGGGAATGAGTGTGGAAAGTGACATTTTCATGTCCTTCACTGTGACACTGTGACCAATGGCACACAGTTCGTGAATTTAGAGCCATTTTTTGACTGAAAATTCATGAGTGCTATTCTAGTCCTGTGTGACTCACTGTTAATATGCCAAAACCCTGGGTCATGCACTGAGAAAATAGTCAGTTGAGCTGTTGAGGAGTGCCATGGCCCAAGCTTGAATTTCCATAATTCACACAGCTGGCCAACTTTGACTTTTGGACAGGGAACACCCCCTCCTCCGCTTCCCTGGTATATCTACACATTCAGACAAGATTTTACTGGCTGAAAGCAGTAACTTTTATTGTTACTTTTTGGGGAGAAAAGTATATATATCTTTGAGAGAATTAAGCAAGATCACCAGTTGTTCCAATCTTTTGGGATTGTGTGAAATCAAATTTTGTGACAACATCTCATTTGTAGACATTGTGCACTAAGAGTACGGAATGGAAGTCAGAGGGGCAGCCTGGCTGGCTGGAGGCCATTTGGGCAGTCAGAGGGCCTTGTGATGACTGTGATAGGAAAGAACCGAAGATATATACTGTTCTTCTTGCCTTGATGGGAAATGACCCCCTTTCCACTGGATCGAGGATCCATATTTCTCCACTTTCTATTTTAGTACCCTAGTATGACAGTGCAGGGTGGTCTAGGATACAGAAATGAAGAAGCTGGAGGACATGGGTTACAAAAATAAAAGCAGTCTAATCACCCATAGATGAATGTCTGTGGGTTACAGGTGGCCACACAATACCTGCTTGTAGTTCTGGGGAAACACAGACTGTGAAATACAGCCTGTCTCTTTGCTTCAGACATACATGCATCTGGGTGTTTCCCTAGAATGCCAGAGGGTTCAACATGAGCATCCCCATGCCCGGACATCCAGTGAACTTCTCCACCATCACCATGGAGCAAGCCCGCAAAGATGTGGAACAACTGGAGCAACTCATTGAAAACCATGATGTCATTTTCCTGTTGATGGACACCAGGGAGAGCCGGTGGCTTCCTGCTGTCATTGCTGCGAGCAAGAGAAAGGTAGAGTACATGGGACCTGTGGTGCTCATCTTTTTTTCCCCATAAAGATTTTTTCTTTAATTATATTAGTTTGTTTACAATATTTGAATACATTGTTTCCCAGAACATATTCTTCCAATTTCCCTCATCTCCCCCATATCAAATTGTACAACTCCATGCTTAATCCTTACACCCTCTGCACATCCTCATCCCTCTGCTTCCATCGTCCCCCAAACCCCTTGGATCCTCATACTCAATCTATAATAATGGTTTTATACAATATTTATCCTTGTGGGAGTTAATTCATTAGTTCATTCAGCAAAATGCTCTCCAGTCCCTCCAAGTTAGGTAATAATTTACAAAATCATTGCTCCAGCATGCTGCATTGTATTCCTTTGTGTGAATGTACCATAATTTTTCAATACACTCATTTGTGGTTGAACATCTGGGATATGGTGAATAATGCTGCTATGAACATTGGTGTACAAGGCTCTGTTTGTGCTTCAGTTCTCATTTTTTCAGTGGATGGATGGTGAAGAGATTGAGGTTGTTAACAGCTTTAGTTGCTTGGCTCCACAGTCAATACTCTTGGCACCAACAGCCAGGAAATTAAAAGACGTATTGTGATGGGAAAGTCTGCTGTAGGGACCTCTCCAAAGTACTTAAGAGCAACAGTGTCACTCTTGAGACTAAGGTGCACCTGATACAGGCCATGGTCTTTATAATCACTCGCTATGCGTCAAAGAGTTGGACAGTGACTAGGGAAGATAGAAGGAGAATTGATGTCTTTGAGCTGTTGGTGTTGAAGAATAGTATTGAATATACCATGGACTTCTAAGAAAACAAACAGGTTCATCCTGGAGACAGTTAATTAAACCAGGCTGCTCCTTGGAGGCAAAGATTCCGAAGCTTCATCTGACATACTTTGGACATGCTGAAAGGAGAGACCAGTTCTTGGAGAGGAATGTCATGCTTGGGAGGGTGGAGGGACACCGCAGGAGAGGAAAACCCTCTATGAGGTGGATTGATTCAGTGACTGGGGTAATCGGCATGGTTGTGTGAGAGACAGTGAGATGTTCAGCTTTTTGAGGAAGCAGCAAATTGCCTTCCAGAGCAATCCTATCTTGCCACATCCTCTCCAACATTTATTACTTGCTGCCCTGTTAAACTTTGCCAATGTTACTGGAGTGAGATGGTACCTCATTGTGCTTTTGATTTGCATCTCTCTTATTGCCAATGATTTAGAGCAGTTTTTTATGTGTCTCTTTGCCATTCGAATATATTTCTCTGTGAAAATTCTTTCCATTTCTTTTTTGCCCATTTTGTGATTGGATTATCAGTCTTTTTCTTGTGGAGGCCCAGGAGTATTCTGTAAACTTCTGTTATGAGACTCTTGTCTGAGATGGTATTACCAAATGTTTGTTCCCAGTCAGTAGGGTTGTTTTGGTGGGTTTTTCCACCCTGTTGGGAAAAAAGTTTGATGCACACAGGACTTTAATCTTTAGAAGGTCCTATTCAGAATGGAAATCCAAAATCTCTGTAATTTTTCATTAATAATAATACTTTTATAAAAGAAGGTCCCATTCATCAATTAGGCACCATGACCTTAAGAAAGAAGTGCCCCCAGTCCTTCCTACCCCTAAAATGGAGATAGTTCGTGTGATCTGGTAATATGATACTTTCAAAGGACTTTCTGCCTCATACACTGTCATCTAATATAATAGTTACTGTTTTTGTAGTCCATTGGACATTACACTGCCAACCTAAAGGCTACATCTCTGTGGTGCTTCAAATCCAGTAGCAACTCCACAGAGAAAGATGAGCAGCCTCCTCTCATGTGATTTACCCCCACAGAAACCAGCTAGAGGGTCAGCTGAGTCGGTTCCAGCTCAGAGGCAATGAGCTGAGTTTCAGTTTTCCAAATAGTCCTGTGAGATATACCTACACTAGAAGGTGTACTAACATGAAAATGGAAGTTCAAGGAGGACAAAATTCTTTGTTTTATTGACTGCTTTTGCTTAGTCACAATTTCAGCAATTAACATTTTGAATAGTTAAATAATTCTCAGCATTAATATGTAAGAGAACAGTAAGAAAGACTGAAAGCCAAACCTCTTTTCATGAGTCTAATTTGAATTCTTGGTAACTCCTTTTTTGAGTTAGACAAGAACTGCTTCACAGGGCTTTGGCTGTAATCTTTGAGGGATAGGGCATTTCTTCTGTAGCATCACTTAGTGGGTTTGAACTGTCAACCTTTAGACAGTATTGCTACTCTTCCTGCTACTACTACTCATTGCTATGGAGTCAAAACCAACTCAGAGTTGACCCTCTAGTGAGCATGTTTCCAAGGTTGTAAATCATATCTTTCTCCTTGGAATCACTGCTGTAGTTGAACTCCCAGAGAGGTAGCAGCTTTGGTTTAACAGCACAAATCCTTACCGTCTAGGCTGCCAGAGATTATGAGTAATCAGACGAGAATATGAGTAATCATTTCTACCAGCCAGGGCAGTATTTATGGGGCCCTGAATATTACATACCCATTCGCGGTTAGGTTTCAAAGCACTTTAATGAAAAAACAAAACAAAACAAACAAAAAAAACACTTGATGAAAAGGACAAACAATATCAACCACATATCGTATGTGTGTGTGTGTGTGTGTGTGTGTGTGTGCGCGCACGTGCATGTATGTGTGTGCCTGTAAAGAGAGAGAGACAGATGGAAATATACAAAGTGGGAGGGAAGGAAAGGTGATGAAGGAAGGAAAAGAGAGAAAATAGCTAATGATTAGTAGTTTAATTGTTTGAACTGTGGAATTGTGGGCAATGTTTATTTTATTTTAGAATATATTTTTTCCAAATATGTTAAAATAAGAAATTTGAGAGGAAAAGGTAAATTAAAACTAAGGCAGATTCTCATAGTATAAATTAAAATACTATTCTTAAAATTTATATAGAGGGCAAATTCCACAGAATCAGAATTACACAATTCAGTTGCATTGGAAGGCTCTGTTGTCAAGTAGCTCTCCAGTGTGTTGAGCAACAGTGTTGGTTTACAAATTGAAGTGCACCCAAATCAATATAGTATTTTCAGTTGCTTCCTGTGTATTTGAAAGTTGGACAAAAAATAAAGACCAGAGAAGAATCTATGTCTTTGAATTGTATTGTTGGCATTATATAATGAACTGTAATAAACCAAGCAAGGCTGTCTTGGGGGAAGTGCAACCAATGTGCTTCTTAGAGGCAAGGATGATGAAGCTTCATCTCATATATATTGTCAACAAGACTTGTCTGAGTCTTTGGAAGAAGACATCATGCCATCCTCATCATCTCAATATACCCATTGTTGCAGTTACTCTGTCAATCCTATCTCATTGAGGAGCTTTCTCTCTTTTGTTTACCATCTTTCCAAGTACAATGTCCCTTTCCAAGGACTGGCCTTCCTAACAACATGCCCAAAATGTATGAGGTAAAGCATCACAACTCAAAGGCATAAATTTTTCTTTTGCCATCCTTAGTCATTGTCTAACTTTCAGATAAATATCAAGTAATTGAAAAGACCATCATTTGAATCAAATGCATGCTAGAATTTAAAATGACATCGTTACTCCTTAGCATGTTAGAGAGGTCCTTGATGGCAGATTTACCCAATGCAATACATACTTTGATTTCTTAACTGCTGGTGCCAAAGATGTTTATGTGGATCCAAGCTAGATGATATTGTTGTCACCAACCAACCTCTATGCATCTGAGAGCTGGACTATGACTAAGGATGACAGAAGGATTGCTGCCTTTGAGCTGTGGTGTTGGAGAAGAGTATTGTCAAAAGAACAAACGGATAAGCCTTGGAGAAGGTGCTTGGCAGAGTGCTCCTTGGAAGCAACGATGATGAAGCTTCATCTCACATACTTCGGGCATGTTACTAGGAGAAGTTATTCCTTGGAGAAGGACATCATGCTTGGAAAGGGTGGCCAAAGGAAGGAAGGCCCTCAGCTAGATAAGTTGACATGGTGACTGCCACAAGGATTGAGACTATCAGAGGTTGTGAGGATGACATGGGATAGGACAGGTTCAGATCAGTTGTTCATAGGGTTGCTGTGAGTCTTACTTGACTCGCTGGCACCTCTAACCCAGTGAATGACCTGGGGCAAGGTACAGAGCTAATTTTTCTGATGCTCATCTTCATTTATAAGCGAGAAGTCTTTTTGTGGAATTTTAGATTAAATCACTGGTGCTAATTATTTTAAAAACATTTTTTAATTAATTTTAATGAAAGTATACAGACTTACGGTTTCCATTCACTCATTGTTGTACTTTTCTCCCTGCCCACCCCCTCCCCCACAATTCACTCTTCTTCTTGGAAAGTAAAACTCTTTCATTGTTATGCAATCCACTCCACTCCACTGTGCAGCCTTCATTCTGGATTCCTGTCATGACAATAATACCTAATCATATATCCCTTTTAAACAGTTGACTCTCCCTCATCTGTTTCAATGCAGTATACATCATTCTTCTCCTCTTTCTCTGCCTTCCCTCAACCCTGATGTCAGTCCCGTTTTTAAAATCTTATTTGTAAGTTCTTAGTATTAAGTAACTTTTATCATTAGCTTCTAGAATCTTCTTATGTTCATATGTAAATAAATAGGAAAAAAGTAAGAAAAATTGACCAAATATGAAATATCTGTTTTTAATATAACCTTTTTCTTTTTGAAATTGCAGCTAGTCATCAATGCAGCCTTGGGGTTTGACACATTCGTGGTCATGAGGCATGGCCTGAAGAAGCCAAAGCAGCAGGAGGCTGGGGACTTATGTCCCAGCCAACCAGTGGTGTCCACTGACTTCCTTGGCTCATCTCTTTTTGCCAATATCCCTGGCTACAAACTTGGCTGCTATTTCTGCAATGATGTGGTGGCCCCTGGAGATGTAAGTGCATTTAAAAAAAACAACCAACCAACCAAAACATCTATGACTCTCTTGGTCACTGGGCCAAACAGACCCACCTCTTTAATTTTTCACTATGAAATTACCGTTTTAGAAAGAGTATTCTTTATTTCTTGGGAAGACATTATCTCACCATGAGGCTTGAGAGCTGTTAATATATGTCACTGTTTCGACTTTAGCATTAAAAATGGAGCTGGAGACCAGTTTTCAGGACACTCAACAACAAAACTGCAGGGCAGACTGGGCCCTAGTATTACTCAGCATTGTTTTCTCTGTTTTGTGCTTAGCTGAGTGAAGAGAACATTAAATGGAAAGTCTGAAGACCTAGATTCTAGCCTACACATGAACTTTGCTTCACTGAATTTTGTTTTGTTTTGGTTTTGGTTTTTTAAATACAAGTTTATTTACAAGATTTTTTTTTATATTTACAAATTTGAATACATTGTTTTCCAGAACAGATTCTTCCAATTTCCCTCACACCCCCCCCATCAAATTGTACAACTCCATGATTAATTCCCCCTCCCCCTGCACATCCTCATCCCTCTTCTTCCACCCTCTCTCACCCCCCTTGAATCCTTATACTACTTTTACAATAATGGTTTTATACAATATTTATGCTTGTGGCACTGAAGATAGTTCACTCAGCTTAATGCTCTCCAGTCTCTCCCAAGTTAGGTAATAATTTACAAAGTCATTGCTCCATTGTGCTGCATAGTATTCCCTTGTTTAGTGTACCATAATTTCTCAATCCACTCGTTTGTGGTTGGACATCTGGGCTGTTTCCATGTTCCTGCAATGATGAATAATGCTGCTATGAACACTGGTATAGAAATCTGTTTGTGCCTCAATTCTCATTTTCTCAAGATATATTCCAAGTAGTGTGTCAATGAATTTCTATGTTCAGCTTTTTGAGGGTGTACCAAACTGCCTTCCAGAATGGTGTACCATTTTACAATCCCACCAACACCACATCTTCTCCAACATTTATTACTTGCTGCCCTGTTAAACTTTGCAGTTGTTACTGGAGTGAGATGGTACCTCCTTGTGGTTTTGATTTGCATCTCTCTTATTGCCAGTATTTTTGAGCATTTCTTCATGTGTCTGTTTGCCATTCAAATATCTTCCTCTGTGAAAATTCTTTCCATGTTATTTACCCATTTTGTAATTGTGTTAATCAGTCTTTTTTTCTTGTGAAGACCCAGGAGTATTCTGTAAACTTTCATTTTGAGACTCTTGTCTGAGGTGGTATTATCAAATGTTTGTTGCCATTCAGTAGGGTTTTTTTCAGCCTGTTGGAAAAAGTTTTTGATGCGCACAGGGATTTAATCTTTAGAAGGTCCCATTTATCATTTTTATCCTCTTTTGATTGTGCAATTCTGGTTGTATTTGACAGTCTTTTTATACCTTGGACTAACACTTCTCAGGTTGATCTCAGTTTGTCTCTTATGAATTTTATGGTTTGGGGCTTTATTCCCAGGTCTCTGATCCACTTTGAGTTGATTTTTGTGTATGATGTGAGATATAGATCCTGTTTCAGCTTTCTGCAGGTGGAAGTCCAGTTTTGCCAGCACCATTTGTTGAAAAGGTTATATATAATTCCCCATTTGATAGCTTTTTAAAATTTCCTTGTTGAATATCAGTTAACCATAGATAGCTGGGTCTATTTCTGGGTTCTCAGTTCTGTTCCAATGGTCTATGTGGCTGTCATTGTACCAGTACCATGCTGTTTGGGTTACTACTGTGTAGTATGTGGTTGGTTTTGTTTTTTTGTGTGTAGTATGTTTTGAGGTCAGAGAGTGCTATGCCTCCCACCTCATTTTTGTTTCTCAGAAATGTTTTGCTTATTCAGGATTTCTTGCCTCTCCAAATAAATTTGATAATTTCCCTTTCAATCTCCTTGAAAAATTAATTTGGTATCTGGATTGGGATTGCATTGAACATGTAGATTACTTTTGGTAGGACTGTCATTTTCATGATATTCAGTCTTCCTATCCATGAACAGGACACATTTTTCCATTTCTTTAGGTCTTTTATTGTGTCTTTCAGAAATGCTCTGTAGTTTTCTCTGTAAGGTCTTTTGAACCTTTAGTTAGGTTCACTCCGAAGTATCTCAATTTGTGGTTGGCTATTGTAAATGGTATTGCTTTCCTGATTTCCTTCTCTGAGTTCTCTTTGTTACTGCAAAGAAGTCCTATCAATTTCTGGATATTGATCTTATATCCTGCCAGTCTACTAAATTAGCCTACTAGCTCTAACAGTTTTTTGTTGAGTCTTTGTGGTTTTCTGTATACACTGTCATATCATCTGCATATAGCGACAGTTCAACCATCTCTTGGCCAATCTGGATGTCTTTTATTTCCTTCTCTTGTTGTATTGCTTTAGCAGGCACCTCCAATACAATATGCTTCACTGGATATTTCTGAATAAGTCAGGGTTTCTGAACCTCAGCAAAATGGTGGTAGGAGGGTATGCTTGTTAGATTTAGTAGATGAAAACATAGGCCGCCCACAATGAATCCCTTCTTAGTATAAACGTGTCCAGTAATATCAGAGGCCCATGTGGCTTGTGCTTTTCACCCAAAGGCCATGACATCAGCATGGCACACTTCTCCCAGGGGAGTTATGTTACAGAAGCTGGTTGGAGTGGTCAGCTTTGAATTCGTTCCAACTCAAAGGCAGTAAGTGAGTGAATGACTTACATTAAAAAATTGTTTAAAAAAAAATAGGAGAGCTCTAGTGGCCTAGTGGCAAGAAACTGCACTGCAATCCCAGAGATATGTGGTTCAAATCCATCAGATGCTCTGCCGGAGAAGGAGGGGCCGTCTCCTCCTGTACCAGTCAGATCCAATTTGACGGTATACACACACACACACTCACAAAAAAAAAAAATAAAATAAAAATTTTTTAAAAAGAATTTAAAAAAATTGTTGATTGATTAAAAGTTCAAATTTAATTACACAGCTCATCTTTTATCTGGCAACTTTAGAAGAAGGAGAATGCTTGCCCCACCAAATCACACTGTGCCAATCAAGTGGATTCCCATTGATAACAACTCCATGGTAACAAGAGAACTGCCTTGAAAGATTTTCTTTGCTGTCATCTTTATGGTGACAAATTTCCTCCTCATACAAAAATGTTGCATGGGGTTCAAATGTCAGAGCACCACTTGGCCTCTTTGTGCACAGGGTAAAGTGAGTCAAATGTGACATTTCTCTGAACAGCAAGCACAAGTACAAGTACAAGATCCTTCAGCATAAAGACACCACACTAGTCAGGTACTGCAGGAATGGTCTTTGATCAGGACAGGCAGTGAGTTCCAGTAAAGCAGAGATCTTTTCTGGACCACTCTGTTTCTTGAACTTGTTACTTAATAGCTCATACTTCTTTTGTATGGCTGACTCCCAGTATAAAAAGAACACCATCAGCATTTCCTTTATGTGAAGAAGAAAGGCTAAAGGTTTGATCAAGGCTATACTACAGCCAGTCCTGTTTATGCCAACAAGTAGGATTAAGGATCAGTTACATTAATATCACATCTGTTTACAAAGTGAAAGTTTCAGAAAGTCAAAATTATCCCTAACTGCTTCTTAGTAGCTCTGAGTTGGAGGATTGGAGTTTCTTTGGTTAACTAATGAAAGCTTGTGCTTAGGAACCACATTGTAGCAAAAGTTTTAATTGTTAGTTGTCACAGAGTGGTCTCCATCTCTGGTAACCTCTGTATAGCTGCACAAAATGTGGCTCTGTCTTGTCCTGCCTTTGTGATTGTTGCTGTGATTGAGTCCAGTGTTGTGGTTGTTGTGTCACCATCTCACTGGGGTGTTTCCTTGTTTTTGTTGACCCTCTACCTCCACAGTAACCTTTTCTAAATAGTTATTCCTTCCTGATACTGTATTCAGAGGAAAGAAGCCAAGAGGTGCCATCCATTCTTTTAAGGAGCACTGAAGCCCTAGTAGGATCATACTGAAGCTGATGAGATGCCTCCAAGACACACAGGAACTGAGGACTTCAAGGAGAACAGACTGAGGGGCTCACTCTCAGCTCTCATTAAAAGAGCAGGCCAGAGTCACTTGTACTAATAATTTATACTTCCTTTCTTTGCCTCCTACCTTTCAAGGAAGGACAGAAGAGTTCTCTTGAGTTGATAAAGGAGCAGATGCTGAGTCTCACATGTATTGAGGCCATCTGTTTTGTCTGTTGTTCCCTAATTATTCATTTGCTCATAGCTGCTAATCCCTTTTAGCATATTGCCTCATTTAATGACGTAACTCTTGTATATTTGTTGTTGTTGTTATATGCCGTCGAGTTTCCTGTGACTCTTAGTGACCCTATGTACAGCAGGTCTGAAGCCTGCCCTGTCCTAAGCCAGTCTCATTGACTCAAACACATCTACTCCCATCACCCAGTTACTGTATCAGTCCAAATCATCCGAGGTTGCATCTTATTTACCATGGTGACTTTTTGGTTCTATTGGATCATGTTATTGTGGAAGCACAGCTTCAGGCAAGTCAGTGGATAGACCTTTATCATGGGGTAATAGTTGTTTCTTTGCAGTCAACCAGAGACCGGACATTGGACCAGCAATGCACTGTCAGCCGCCCAGGGCTGGCCATGATTGCGGGAGCCCTGGCCGTGGAATTGATGGTTTCTGTTCTGCAGCATCCAGAAGGGTGAGTTCAATGTTTGGAGAAGGACCTTTCAATGAAGGACACTTTCCTAAGCAGTTGTTCATCAGCATCTTCCTTGACTTCTTCTTATTCTGCTCTTCTCAGAATTTTATTAAGCTTTCTATGCTCAAAGAAATGCAATTAGATGGGAATTGTTGCTTAAGGCACACTGAATTTCTATTAAATTGCAGTTTTGGTTGTAAACATAGTGAATGTAATGAATGATGTCCATCATTGTGCATATTAAAATGGTTGAAATGGCAAATGATGTGTGTGTGTGTGTGTGTGTGTGCGCGCGTGCGCGCGCGCACGCACACACACACACAGAGAGATATTTGGCAAATATTTTATTTACATCAATCATTCACCCATTGCCATTGGAATTGACCCATCGCTGACCCTCCAGTGCATTTTCAGAGGCTTTAATGTGGATTATATCTCAACTTCAAGAAAATAAAACTCACTACAACCTTGTTTGCTGAAACTGAGGAGGACCTGAACTGCTTGCTGCAGAAGGTCAAGGACTGTAGTATTCAATATAGATTAAAGCTCAACATCAAGAAAAAGATTCTCACCATTGGGCCAATTGGCAGCACCATGATAGATGGAGTAGATATTGAGGTTTTTAACATTTTCAGTTTGCTTGGCTTCACATCAGCACTTTTGGCACTTGCAGTCAGGAAATCAAAAAGCAAATTGAGTAAATCTGCTGTCAAGGACCTCTTCAGAGTACTGAGAAGCAACGATGTCAGTCTGTAGACTAAGGTCTGTGGTGTCTGCAATTACTTGCTATGCATCAAAGACCTGGATAGAACAAGAATTAATGCCTTTGCATTGTGATTCTGGAGAAGAGTCTTGAACATACCACGGACTGCCAAGAAAACAAATTGGTCTGTCGTGGAGAGGGTGAAACAAAGTTTTTCCTTGAAGGCTAGCATTCTGAAGCTCCATCTCACATACTTTGGGCATGTGGCCAGGAGGGACTGATCCTTGGAGAAGGACATCATGCTTGGTAGGGTGGAGGGACAGTGCAGGAGAGGAAGACCCTGGGTGAAATGGATTGATTCAGTAACTAGAGCAGTGGGGGTAGGTGTTATCAGAGTCTGTGAGACTGTCTCAGGACAGGGCAGGCTTCAGGGCTATTGTACGTTGGGTCACTATGAGTTGCAGGTGACTTGAGGGCACATACCAACAACAACAACTGGACCAATAGGCAATGTCATGCTAGCTGGAGAAAAAATTGAAATTGTTATGATTTTCTTTCACTTGGATACACAGTCATCATCCAGGATTACAGTAGTGAGGAAACCAAAAGGCAGTTTGCATCGGGAAAACCAATTCTCAAGGACTTAGCCAGAATGAGTGAAGAAGTATAGCATTTTTATCATTCATGGGCGTTGTGTTCCATATAATCCTCAGATATATTGTATTTCATTCATTTATATTTGGGGTTTTTCCCTCTTTTACAATCATCCCACCAACACTTTCATGAAAGTGTGTAGGCCAGCTACTTCATCCCTCATGCCCTTATATCCCCCTTTTAGAAATGCAATTGCTGATTTATCCATCCCTGTCAAACCAGAGCTTGGAGCAAACAAGCATGGCCCTTTTGCTGAAGAATTCTCTATTCAACTTGGAAGCTTTGAGCATCTCCATTAATAAGCAAAGTCCAGTCCAGGCAAACCATCAGGTTGCACCAGTCAACCCAAGCTTACAGTGTGGATCATCTTTTCATCTGGTTGGGTTCTGGTCAGCTCATCTTCAGCCATATGTGGCTAGGTGCAGATGGACCTCAGCTGTAAGCTCAGGAATCCACACTTCTCCCTGCATTCCAGGTGTGTTGGTCCCCTCACTCAGTCCCAGCCCCCTCATGGGGCCGTGTCAAGTCAACAGGCCAGGGGTCCTCACAACTCTCAACAGCCTCAAGCCAAGAACCCTTCCTTGCTCATCCACACATCTGTGAATGCTAGGTGAGCTGCACTGAAGGAGCATGTCCAAGCCCAGCCTGTTTCTCCATTGTTGTTCTCCTCCCACTTCCTTGTTGTATTCCACTCCTGTGCATCCAAGTAATTGCTGTGAGTTAGCATGCTCCAACCTCAAGGCATGGAAGTGGGGTCTGATGAGCACCAATTTTACCCTGCCTTAGAAGCCAAACCAGCTTGTTTCAGTTATACAAAGAGTCTTCTTTTCTTCTCTCCTTTCCTGTTTCTACTTCTTTCAAATGTCATTGTTTTCCATCAAAAGTTTTATTGAATAAAAGTTGTAATTTTAAAGATTAAGATGCACTTAACCCAAGTTATGCAGAACAGATCATGTGGGAGGCTGGGCTCTATGAGGAGGAGTGTGAGTAGCATCAGGATTGGAGGAAGACTTATCAACATCCTGTGTTATATAGATGATACCGTCCTGGTTGCTGAAACTGAAGAGAACCTTAAGCGCTTGCTGCAGAAGGTCAAGGACTGCAGCCTTCAATATAGATTGAAACTCAACAACAAGAAAACAAAGATTCTCACCACTGGGCCGATTGGCAACATGATGATAGATGGTGAAGATGATTGTTGACAGCTTTAGTTTGCTTGACTCCACAATCAACACTCTTGGTACCAGCAGCCAGGAAATTAAAAGATGAATTGTATTGGGAAGGTCTTCTGTCAGGGACTTCTTCAGAGTACTGAAAAGAAACTATGTCAGTCTGGACACTAATGTGTGCCTGATCCAGGCCATAGTCTTTGCAATTAACTTGCTTTGCATCAGAAATCTGGACAATGACTATGGATGATAGAAAGAGAATTATAAATGCCTTTGAACAAACAGGTTTGTCCTAGAGAGGGTGAAACCAGGCTACTCCTTGGAGGCAAGGATTCTGAGGCTGCTTCTGACATATTTTGGGCATGTTGCATACCACTCAATGGCATATAATGACAACAACAACAATTACAACAGTCTAAGTTGTGATCTTCTCAGTTACTACCTGTGCATCTGAAAATCAAACACTGAGTAAGGATGACAGAAGATTTGATGCTATTGGATTGTATGTTGGTGAAGAGTACTGAATAAATATCCCATGATGAACTGCCAGAAAAACAAATAGGTCTGTCTTGGAAGAAGTATATCCTGTGTGCTCCTTAGAACCAAGGAGGGTGAAACTCCATCGCACTTGCTTTGGACATGTTGTCTGGAGAGACAAATTGTTGAAAAGAGACATGATGTTGGGATAGATGGAAGGATCAGAGAAAGAAAAGAAGCTCCTCGACAAAGTGGCCTGGAACAGTGATTGTGCCAGTGGGTCAAGCCAATGGCACCACTAGGATAGTGTAGGATAGGACAAGGTTCAGATGTGTTGTTCATAATGTTACTCTGAGTCTAGTTGGGACAGGGGCGTATAACAACAACAAATCACACAAGAAGGGATTACCCATCTATTTCCCGAGAAGTGGATTCAAACCACTAGGGAACACAACTTTTTAGCCACTAGATCCCCAGAGCTCCATGTGTATGTATCTGTGTGTGTGTGTATGTGTGTGTGTGTGTGGTGGTGGTGGTGGTTATGTGTTGTCAAGTCACTTGCAACTCATAGTGACCTTGTGTATAACAGCCCTATACTCTGCTCTATCCTGTGCCAACCTTATTATCTCTGACACATCTACCCCCATTACTCCAGAGACTGAATCAATCCATCTCATCGAGGGTCTTCCTCTCTTGCACTGTCCCTCCACCCTTCCAAACATGATGTCCCTCTCCGAGGACTGGTCCCTCCTTGCAACATGTCCAAAGTATGTCATTTGAAGCCTCAGAATCCTTGCCTTCCAGGAGCAGCCTGCTATTACCCTCACTAGGACACACCTGTTCATTTTCTTAGCAGTCCTTGTTATATTCATTACTCTTCTCCAGCACCATTGTTCAAAGGCAACAATTCTCCTTCTATCATCCCTAGTCATTGTCCAGTTTTCTGATCCATAGCAAGTAAGCCTGGGTCAGGTGTACCTTAGTCTCTAAACTGACTCCATTGCTCTTCAAGTCATTTATATATGTGTGTGTATATGTGTATAAAATGAAACACAAACTCATACCTAAACATGACTTAACATCAGGAAAGGTGTGCATCAGAGCTGTATCTTTTTTCCATATGTATTCCATCTATATGCTGAGCAAGTCATTCAAGAAACTGGACACTAGAGTGTGGAAATTATCGAACAATATCATTAATATCACATGCAAGCAAGATTCTGCTGAAAAATATCCAAAAATTATTGGAGCAGTATGCCAGCAGAGAATTGCCAGATGTGCAGGCTAGATTTAAAAGAGGTATTGGTACTAGGGATATTATAGCTAATGTTAGATGGATCTTGGCAGAAAGCAGAGAATACAGGAGGAATGTCTATATGTGCATCATTGACTATGCAAAGGGTTTGGACTGTGGATCACAACAAGCTATGACTGACTCTGAGAAGAATGGAAATCCCAGGACAGTTGATTGTGCTTATGTGAAACCTATACTTGGATCAAGAGGCAGTTGTCAGAACAGAGCAAGGAGACACAACATGGTTCAAAATCAAGAAGGGGGTCTGTCAGGGATGTATTTTGTCTCCGTGCCTTTTCAATCTGTATGCAGAACAGATCATCCGAGATGCTGGGCTGTACGAGGAGGAATGTGGCATCAGGATTGGTGGAAGAGTAACCAACAACCTGCCTTATGCAGATGACACAACCCTGCTTCCTGAAACTGAGGAGGACCTGAAGTGCATGCTGCAGAAGGTCAAGGACTGCAGCCTTCAGTATGGATTGAAGCTCAACATCAAGACAACAAAGATTCTCACCACTGAGGCATTGGCAGCATCAGTAAGGATGGTGAAGAGATTGAGATCGTTAATAGTTTTCGTTTACTTGGTCCACAGTCAACACTCTTGGCAACAACAGCCAGGAAATCGAGACAAATGGCACTGGGAAAGTCAGCTGTAAGGGACCTCTCAAGAGTACTGAAGAGCATCGACATCAGGCTGGAGACTTAGGTGTGCCTGATCCGGGTTATAGTCTTTGCAATTATGTGCTATGCATCAGAGAGTTGGACAGTGAGTAGGGATGATAGAAAGAGAATTGATGCCTTTGACCTGTGGTGCTGGATAAGAGTGTTGAATATAACATGGACTGCTAGGAGAACAAACAGGTTTGTCCTGGAGAGGTTGAAGCTAGAATGCTCCTTGGAGACAAGGATTCTGACATACTTTTGGCATGTTGCAAGGAGGGACTGGTCCTTGGAGAGGGACATCATGTTTGGGAGAGTGGATGGGCGGCGCAGGATAGGAAGACCCTCGATGAGATGGATCGATTCTGTGATTGAGGTGGTGGGAATGAGTGTTTTGGAGATGGCGAGGTTAGCACAGGATAGAGCAGTGTTTAGGGCTCTTTTACATAGGGTTGCTTTGAGTCGCAAGCGACTTGACGGCATATAACAACAGTATTTTGGTATTGTTAGTAGACACTCAGAATTCAGATTAGATTATCAATACAAGAATTATACTTTGTTCATTAATTTTATAAAATATAATAAATGGAAAAAATTGTATGAAGGATAATGTGAAACACAATGTATACAAATTTTGTAAGCAAAACAATATAAAATAAAAATTATTTCTTTAATTTAGAAAAAAATGATGGTATTTTAAAAGACTATTTCAAGGAAGGAGAATTAACATTTATTGACATATCAGATGTGGCTGCGCAGTCTCCTCCTGTGTAATTTACTGCTTCTAAAAATCCTCTGCAGGGCCAGGTAGGAGTCAGGTCCAGCTTAATGGCAAATAGAAACAACAGTCCCTAATCTCTTCCTCTCACATGCTTCTTTCTGCTTCATCTACTTATCTGTTCTCCTTACAAATGTGTTCAGCCTCTCCCCCTCCAAGTCATTCTCAAAAGTGCTAAATATAAACCTTTATAAATGACCTGTGGTTATGTTCTCTCCTCAGGGGCTACGCCATTGCCAGCAGCAGTGATGACCGCATGAATGAGCCTCCCACTTCTCTTGGGCTTGTTCCTCACCAGGTTAGTGATTGCAGTTCTGGGCCTACCATGCTGGGGAAGCATTGGAGTCACATATAGCATATCATCAGCCCAGCACACTTCACACACTTTTTCCTCATCCTATCTGGATTTGTGGTAAGAGAGCTTTCTGACCACCTGGGAAATACTCTCTTTGGAGATTGATAATGAGAAGAACCCCCCAACAAACATCATGATCTAGGGTCTTTGATATATTTTATCTATTAACTTGTGATACTGCCTCAAATTCAAAGAGGCACCTCAATTCATCACAACTCCATGAACAGTGAGTAATAAGGTGTTCATTCTCTGCTTTTCAGAAGTAGATTGCCAGGTGTTTGTTCCTAGTCCATTTCAGTCTAGAAGCTCCGTTGAAAACTGATGGGCTTCCTAGCAGCACACAAGCCTCCTTTGACAGATGATGTTGTTGGCTCTGCCTGGATAAGATGCATTAGCTGGGATCTAAATACAGGTAGGGTCATTGTGGGTCAGAATTGGGCCACAGTAAGTGATTTTTTTTATCCTTTGGTCTCCTACATAGAAAGTGAGAACTGTACCATTGTACTACTATCCTCAGTATGTTGACTAGAGGCCTCATGATGAAATAGGAGAATGAGTGGGCTTTGGATTCAGGAGACAGTGGTTGAAGTACTGGCTCTGTGGTTATGAGGGTGCCCTTCCTTAGCCATTTACTGACTTCTCTGATCCTTTGTTTTCTTATGTATAAAGTTGAGGCAGTAAAGCCACATTCCCTGGTAGTTACTGACTTTAGAGATAATATATGGAAAGGGTTTCACTGTCTCTACTCTAGGCCTCATTGCCTTGAGTTGCAACCAACTCAGAGCTGACGCTCTGTTGGGTTTCCAAAGCTGTAAGTGTCAGGAGAGAAAAATTACTCACTTTTCTCCCCAGGAGCAGCAGTGTAACTCCTTACATATTAGGCCACTAGAGTGCCTTCTTTTGAATTAAGCATCATATATGTTGTTGCTGTTGTGTACTGTTGAGTCAGAACCCACTGAGAGGTGACCCTCTGGTGAGTTTTCACAGGCCGTAAATTGCACAGGATGAGATTGCCCATCTTTTCTTCTGCATGACTGCTGGTAGATTCAAACTGAGTGCCTTGGGGTTAGCAGCACAGCTCCATACCACTAGGGCCACCAGAATCCCCTTAGCTCCCTATGCAGCATATGTGTGCCCTTGAGTAAGAACCAACCTAGCTGACCCTTCAAAGGGTTTTCAGAAGCAATAAATCACAGTAGAACTCCCTTGTGGGCATGCAATGATTCTGAAATCCCATCCTCTCAATTTGCAACGTCCTGGTGGCATGGTGGTTAAGCATTTTGATGCTCATGGAAAGGTAAGGACCCACAAGCTGCTCTGTGAAGAAAGCCAGTGTCAGTGTGCTCCTGAAGACTGCAGCCTTGATCAGTCAGGGACTGTCTACCCTGCCCTGTGTGGTTACAGGGAGTCAGAATCAATGCAATGGGCTGAGTTTGGGTTTTGGCTTTTGAACTTCAATTTCCAAATTTGTTGTTGCTGTTTTATGCAGTCAAGCCACATTAGACCCCTTGTTGTTGTTGTTGTTATATACTGTCGAGTCGCTTGCGACTCATAGCGACCCTATGTACAACAGCCCTAAATCCGCTCTGTCCTGTGCCAATCACACTGTCTCTGACACTCCCATCCCAATTACCCCAGTCACTGAATCAATCCACCTTATAGAGGGCCTTCCTCTCCTGCGCTGTCCCTCTACCCTCCCAAGCATGATGTCCCTCTCTAAGGACCGGTCTCTCCTCACAACATGTCCGAAGTATGTTAGACGGAGCCTCAGAATCCTTGCCTCCAAGGAGCCACCCGGTTTAACCCTTTCCAGGACAAATCTGTTTGTTTTCCTAGCAGTCCATGGT